ACTATGACCTCCTCAGAGACATTGGCCCCAACAGTCCCTGGAGCCATTTATTTCATCACGTGTGGCTCAAACCCATCATCCAGCACTCTCACCGGGTTGCCATTTGCCCAGACCAATGTTCGACTGGACAAATCGCAACTGCCAATCAGCCAATTGCTCTATCCAGCTTGGCCATAACTTCTCATGGCGGGCCTCAGTCTTAACAGCCATTGGTGTTGAAACGGCTATATCGCCGTGACCCACATAAACTCCAACATGCTCCCTACCTGGCACCTAAAAGATCCAGGATGGTTGAGCAATTTCCTTCTACATGTGAGGCCTTTACAGCTGCAGCCTCCCAATATTTTCCCGCTAACCCAGACAAGGGAAATCATTCCTCTCACTCGGTATCTGCAGTGTCTGTATACTGTACTTCACTGCTTTACAAGCTCGTCAACAACCTCAATTTCAACATCACCAAGACACAGGCTCTGTGGTCCATGGACACTTGTTCTGTCCCTCTATCGACGCATGATTTCCGTCGCCCGATAGAACCAAGCCATTGAACTCGACATCACTGTGACCCCGAGTTCGACACCAATGTTCAGCCACATCAAACTATGATCATGGACACTCGGATGACATATCTCACTATCGAAAATCCTCGATACTGACAAATGGCCATGGACACGCCGCCTCCATCGACATCGAGCTACAAATGTCAATACTATGACACTCAACCTATCGATACCGAAGTTGATCGACAATCCATCAACTCCCAACACGATCCCAATTATTCTGATCACGGATCCAGACCTCAGACGCTATCAGTATTACTTACCTCACCAGAATCTGACCTTGTCGATGCCGACTCACCATCACCAGCGGAAGACTTCCAAACTTACGACCAACTTATGATACGTACGTCTAAGTCTCTCAATCTCCAAATCCACCATCCTTCGACAGAACTGGCCGATTATCTATATGACCCAATCTCCAAAGATACAACTACTCCACTATACATCTCAGTGCTTCCGTCTCTACTCAGCACCGTTCAACGATCCTGGACAAAACCAGCCTCTTCCCATACCATGTCTAAACGAATTGATAACCTCTACAGAGTCCATGATCCTGGAGCTCTGTTTCTTCAGAAACAACCAGCTCCAAACTCTGTTTTTGTCAAAGCCTCACAATCCAGATCTCGACATCGACAGACTCTCGTACCACCAAATAAAGACAGTAGAATGAGTGACTCAATGGGAAGATGGCTTTATTCATCAGCTGCATTCACCATGCGTGTTGCAGGGAGCCATGGGTGCATATCAGCATTTCTTTTGGGACAATATGTCAACCTTTGTGAAATCTTTAGCAGAAGATAAAAAACTACTTGCTCATACCTTCCAAGAAGAAAGTATTTCCGTTGCCAAACAACAGGTGCTTTCTGCTAGGCACACAGTAGATGCCACAGCAAAGTCAATGGCTGTCATGAGTGCTTCCGAAGACCTGGACCCAAAAGGGTTAACTGTGACTGAAGAGAATGTGGAGAGATCAGAAACACCTGAACCGCCTCCAGATTCTCCCTCCACAGCAGACAGGCTTCGGGGCAGGCTTCAGGAAAGACTCAGAACAAGAAGATCAGAGGATCGCTCAAAGGCTTTCCACAGAGACCTACGTTCATCTAGTCCTGAGTACTAGCAGAATAGAAAGCTTTCCAGCAGCTTAAGGAGCTGTTTCATTATAAAACAAGCTTCCAGTGAAGCCAGAAACTTCGTGGAAGCAAGGAGTCCAAACCTTGGCTTCCATGCACGTTTCCTGCATCTTGTTCCTGTCTGTGAACTCTGGACTTCGACCCTGGACTTTGACATTGGACTTCCTTCTGTAAGTTGGTTTCTGGACTTTGGCTTTGCATTCTTGATATCTCTGCCCCTGGACTGGTTTATCGGACTTCGGCTCTTGTAACCCCCGGGAACGTGACAATGGCCACTTCAGTAGTCTTACGAGTTTTCTCTTGGCTAAGGACAGCCTGGCTGAGGATGCCGGTGCACATTCGATGGGGCAGGCCTCTTTAATGCTGAGACTGATGATTTTTGGAAAATGTGCGAAAGAAAAGATCAGAAGCTAGACATTGGGGAGTTTATCCATCTTACCTATCAAGTACATGGCACCGGTAGCTCCTTACCTCAGGTTACAAAAATTCTCATATTTCCATATAGTGACGATTGGCTCCTCATAGCTCATTCCCATCTCAAGGCCCAACGAGACACCACCCTTACTTCACCCTTTGTGATCTTGGTCTCGCTGTCAATGAACAAAAAACAAACTTGAAACTTACAAAGATTATTCATTATATAGGTGCATGCATAGATTCCACACAAGCTTGTGCCTTTCTTCCTTCAGGCAAGAGAGAAAATCTCTTCGCATTACTTCAAGTTTTCACCCCTCATGCTATGGTACCCGCCTTGACTGTGCAACGTGTACTAGGCACCATGGCCTCTATGACTTCAGTAGTGCAGCATGTACTGTACGTCTCAAGATGAGATCTCTTCAATCGTGGTTTCTCGCCTTCTTTGACCTGCTCACAGACCCTCCTCACACCCTTTTAAGGGTCACCCCAGAACTCACCTCCCAATTTCAGCGGTGGCGTTTTCCTCCCAACCTATCCATCGGGTGGCTGTTCCGACAACCGCGATCACAAATACAGGTCACCACTGACGCCAGCCTCACAGACTGGGGAGTTCACTGCAAATCTCTCAAAATCCATGCCAAGTGGTCTTCCAGAGAGAAATTGCTTCACATCAATGAATTAGAACTGTTGGCGGTCACAAAAGCTTGCAAAGCTTTCAGAAATCTCCTCGCTGGCAGGATGGTACAAATTGCCAACAACAACACCACAGCGATGTACTATATTCTGAAACAAGGTAGCACCCACTCTCCAAGTCTCCTCTGTTTAGCGGTCGACCTCTGGGAGTGGTGCCTAGCACATCATATCTGCCTCACGGCTTTACACACTGCCGATCATGCCAACGACTTGGCCGATCTACTCAGCTGCACAAACTCTCAAGCTCATGAATGGGAGTTTGACCAATCAGTTTTTCTTCGCTTATGTGAATGATGGGGCAAGCCAGCTCTTGACCTCTTCGCCTCCCGTGTGAATTGGAAGTGCAAACGATACTGCTCCTGAGCTAGCATTGGTAAACACTGCATTCGTCAGCAGATGGCCCAAGACCCTCACTTACATTTTTCCGCTGTTCCTGCTTCTCCACAAGGTTGTGGTTCGCGTACAACAAGACTAACCCGATGCCATCGTTATAGCCCCTTGGTGGCCGAGACAACCTTGGTTTCCAGTCCTTCACAATCTCTTATCAGACATTCACCACCTTCCTCACCTGCCTCACCTCCTCATGCAGAACAATGTCTAAGTACTCCACCCAGACCTACCTGTTGTACACCTGGCAACATGGAGGATTCCGCCTCACTAATGAATGACCTCTGTCAATCAAAGAAGCCCTCCACTAGAAAAGTTTACCTGTAAAAATGGAGCAGATTCAAAACTTTCACTGAAGCTTCTTCATTGCCTTCTGTCAACCCATCACTTGCTACTGTTCTATGTTTTTTGCTTCATCTCAAGTCTAGTGGCCTTTCCCTCTCTTCCTCGAAAGTTTATCTCTCTGCCATAGTTTCTTATCAGCCCTCTAACTCTCCGGCAGCTGATTTCTTCAAGCATCCAATATTGAAACATTTTCTTAAAGGTCTATCTCATATCTACCCAGATACCCGCTCGCCTTCCCCACAATGATCACTAACACTAGTACTGCAACAACTTACTAAAGCTCCTTTCAAAACTTTAACTTCAACTGATTTACAGCTATTTACCTTTAAAACAGTTTTCCTCGTCATCATCACCTCAGCTCAACGAGTTAGTGATTTAGTGGCCTTAGGTCAGGACTATCCTTATTTATAGTTCTTTCCGGACAAGGTCAAACTATCTATGGATATTTCTTTCCTCCCCAAAGTCATATCTCAATTCCATCTCTCTCAGCCATTTATCCTTCTTTCCTTCTTCCTGTCACCATCCACAACTCAAGAAAGAATCCTCCATACTTTAGACGTTAGGTGAAACCCTTGCCTTTTACATCCAATGCACCCAACCTTTCAGGCATTCACCTCAACTTTTCATAAGTCACCAACCACCTACTGAAGGTCGCCAGGTGACATCTCAAACTATATCTAGATGGGTTGCTTCAACCATTCACCTTGCGTATCAGCTGGCACACAAACCAGTCCTGAAGGTGATTCGCCCTCACTCCACCAGAGCAGTGGTGACCTCTATGGCATTCCTACGTGGCGTACCACTTCCAGATGTCTGCGCCTCTGCCACCTGGGCACAGCCATCCACTTTCATCTGCCATTATAGACTTCATTTCCGGCAAAAGTCTGATGCAGCCTTTGGAGATGCTGTTTGAGCCTCTACCTTGGCGTGACACCCTGCCTCCGGGTAAGACAGCTTTTTTAGTCACCCAGGGTATGATTCACAGAGGCCATGAAGAAGAACAGGTTACCCACATGTAATTATAGTTCTTTGAGTGGACCTCTGTGATTCACACATCCCGACCGTCCTCCCCACTGTCATGCGATTCTGTTTAATTTAGCGGTGGTTGACACAACTGAAAGGAGAGCCTTGGCGCCAAGGTACTTATACCAGGGGGGAGGGGCCTTATTCTAATGTGGGTTTTTTTGCTACCGCAGAAGCTCTAGAACTTTCTGATGAGGCTCCACACAGGTGCAGATCACCCAGGGTGTGAATCACAGAGGTCCACTCGAAGAACTACAATTACAGGTGGGTGACCTGTCATTTTGCTTGAATGGTTTGAAATTAACAAGCTCAGGGCTATCCCCATCCATACAAACCTGAGTACTTTGCTAGTAATTAGTTCTTTTTAGAGTTTTCGCTTAGGCAGCTACTTAGTCTTAAAATGGCAGATTGCAGGAAAAACGTTTAACATGTCTTCTCCCTCCCACAGTATCCACAACTCTGTCCTCCGGGCCTGGACACACTAGACAGTGCAATGAAACAGTCAAGTCCTATTGTGTCAATGGTGGAGTGTGCTACTACATTGAAGGCATAAATCAGCTATCCTGCCGGTAAGTGGACAGGTTTCTTTTCCCCTTGATATCCAAGAGGTTACATGTAGTGTGCAAGATGGCAAGTTTGCCCTGGTGGTCCCTTGGCAGTGGTAGCAGCTAAGAAAATGAGCAGGCTTAGCTAGAGGCTGGCTCTTGGTGACGGGGCTCTTATTTCCATTCTCTCAGCACTTTTATTCATCAGCACTGTAGAAGTGCTTGTTTGACAATCTGTATGTGTTTCGAACCCGAAAACAGCAACTCTGTCTCTCTGTCTCTGTCTCACTCTCTGCTTTTTACCTTCCTCTTATTTATTCTTCTCCTCTGTTCCTTTTTCCTTATTCTCTTTTAGCTGCAGGGAACAATGGTCTTATCAGCTTTTGTTCACAGCTTAGTCTCAAATTTAAAATCAAGGCTACTGTTACCCTTCCTGCAGAAAAATCCTGGATGTATATACTGTAATCAGAAATTTAGCATCACATTAAAGACACCATCAGCAAAATGGATGAATTTCTTATATTTTTATTTCTAGTGGTTTATACCGAAATCTAGGTACTTGTCATTTTAAAACTGAACTTGCTTTGATGGTTGGGGAGAATGAAAGTTACAACATCCAGATGTTGATACAAAGAACTATAGACAGTTGCTTCACTGCTGGAAATATATTTAAGGCAAGAAAACAGTTCTTGTTTTCATAACTTAAATGGCAGTTTCTTGTGGCTTCAAATAGGATAGATATATGAAGTTATTATAGAGATGGGGGAGCATTTAATTGGCAATCTTTCATGGTCTATGCAACAAGAATATCTAGTATTCTGGGAAGGAGGCTTGGTTTTAGAGACATCATGAAGGACAATGGAGATGGAGGATGCGATCCTATGCACACTTTCCTTAGAATATGTCCCACAGGGATTGGCTTCCATAAAACCTGCATAGGAATGCGCTGTGACTCACCTAGAAGGGCTGACAGATCACATTCCTTTGGCAGGGCAGTAATCAAGAGGTGTGCTCTTTGGTTGTTGCTGCATGCATTACACCCTACTAAAAATATGGTAGAAAAAGGAGTGGGCAATGCACCTCTTGCATTCAGATGGTCACCAATCTGCTTCCATGCATGTCTGAAAGCATGTTCACTTTTCACACGAGGCCAGACATGTGTTCTTTCCATGTCAAGAGAGGTCTTCATTTCCACTAGAACCATCTTGCCAATGTGAAGTTGCACTCATACAGTTGCAGCATCATTGTGCTAGTTTGTAACATGCTAATTATATACCCTATAATATTGCTTGCTGTCCACTGGAATATGCCCTCTTCTCAAGAACATCTGTGGGTTGGGCCTAAAGATTCCCCACCTTCACTTTAAAATATTTCTACAACATTTCTGTTTCTTTCTGGTGAACAGAAATGGATAGAGTTTAAAAATTAAGGCTTCAGGGGGAACTAGCACAAAATAACCAGATTAGACTGAAAAGCACTGAGGCAACCTCCTATGGAATTCAATGTGTTCTGAGCTGATCTTCCATCAGACGTTGCAAAACCAAGACCTGCTTATCTTCAAATGGACACTAGCATAAGATGGCTTCAGACAATGCCCACATTGAATAATAGGTCCAGTGTTGATTTTCCAAGAAAGTAATGGACCCCATGTACATATAGGTAATAAAATACAGATGTTACAAGAGAGTTTACAATCCCAGAGTTTTATGATTCAACCATTATCATTTAGTATTATAATTTATAAGAACTTACATGTGTGATTGGAACCTCATACCCTTTGTTTTATAGTCCCAAAGTAGGAATAGGGCTATTTCATATGGTACAAAACTTCTGGATGTGTAGGAATTGACACATAGCCCATATGTTGCTCCTCATGTGGATACTCCTCCATGTAGATAATTACTTTGTGACTGATCTTTGATGCCACAACCACTTGGATGCCAAAGCTAAAAGCCTGTAAACTCTATCTGGTTGGGTGCTAATAATACTCCTGATAACATTGTATTTCCCATATTCTGTGGAGTTAGTGTGTGATAATTCACGAATTATTTCATTATCTTGACTAGGCATGAAGGTCTCTACCTCACATATTCTTGTTAGTGAGAATTAATTGGCTTTCTTCCCATTGGGCAAGATTAGGAGACCTTTATGTCCCCCCCCCCAATTTGGGACACTTTTTAAATAAAAGAATCACAGTAGTTTTCCTTGTGCAAAACAACATGTATTTTGCTTCTTGTGTTTTGCACAAATACAAGTTGTCTAATGCAAAATAAAAGTTTATGCCTAAACTAAAAATATATCTGCAAAATCCACATTTTTGTTAATGCTGATGATGACCCAAAACAAAAAGTATTGGTTTTATCCCCTCATGTACGCAGGTGTGAAAAACCTTCCCATGGCTGATTACTTTGTCACTGGGATGTTTTGATTTCTTAAGGTACCCTTTTTGCCAAGGGTGAGGACATACTCCAGATATTTGTTACATTCGTAAATCTTTAAATTCTGTGCTTTAAACTCTGCCCATTATGCTTTGTCTGTTTCTCAAATTTCATGCCCGTGTGAGTGACTGGACAGAGTAGTGGGCTTCAACTAGGAAAACTGGGGTTCGTTTCCCATAGAGCCCAATAGCTCACTTTCCAAGCTTGAGAAAATTAGCTCCTGATTTCCTGCACATATTTCCAAGAAATAAAGGTCTGAAATAAACAAAGAAAACCATGCTAGATCTTAAAGTATTGGATGGTTATAAAGGTTTAGAAGGTTTAGCCAGGGGACATTAGGTTGCTAGAGCTTGTAGTTTAGGACTTCATCCTGTACAGCCAATCCAAATGTATGGAAGGATCCCTCAGACTGCACGGGAATGTGGGATTATGCTGATGATGTCTGATCTCTCAACTGAGGCAGGTGTCTAAGGTTCTGTTTGCTGTCAGCTCCATAGAAATGTCTGGCAAGAAGAGTTTCTGACAGATGGCAGTCTCAGCTTTTGACATTACAGAGTTTCTGTTTTCCGCTGCTCACTGATTGCACGGAGCTGATGGGCAAGAATAAAATCTGCCTGAAAACAGCTAGTCCTTTAAGTCACTGGTTCTTAAGCTTGAGTTACTCAGGAGTTTTGGACTGCAACTCCCAGAAGCCTTCACCACCAGCTGTGCTGACTGGGGTTTCTGGGATTTGCAGTTCAAAAGCATCCGAGTAACAAAGGTTAAGAACCACTGCTTTAAGTCAAAGTTAGGCAGACTTCATGCTTCTTGGCTCAGTATTGTTGTTCATGTTATTAGAACCCTGATGACCACCCGTCAAAGCCCAAGCGCAGAAGACATGGAGTTCTTGCCTGTGTCTGAGTTCTGCTGTAGTCTTTCCTGAAGAAAGTGGTTTAGGCATGGATTGTGCTCAGGTTCTTTCTGTACAAAGAACAACTGCAGACTTGTGGTGTGGGAGAAACGCCCTCCTCCTCACTTCAGTTTTTCTTGAATTGCCTCCAAAGTGAGGCCAGAACCCCAAACCAACCAAATAAACAAACCAAGTAATGTCATCTAGTGAGCAAAATCTGGTGCTGTTTGATCCTTCCTGTCATCTCCGTGAATCTCTCTGTTCTCTCTCTCTTAACATAGAGCCAAAGTCTTTGCAGTGCAGTCAAATTCTGCTTCTTCTTCTTTCCCGCATCATACTAAATCCATGACCAAAGTTGTAACAAGACAAGCAACATAACAAGCCTAGAATTTTAACATTATTCTAAGAATCAGCTATTTGCTTCTCAGTTGTTGCATGGGTCAGTGCGCAAATTAAAATAGCACTTGTACATTACCAAATATCCTTAAAGACTTCTTATTTATTTATTTAAAATATTTTTATTCTGCTTTTCTCCCCAAAAGGGAACCAAGGGGGCTTACATTAGTGAAATACAATGTTTAAAAGCTAAAAATAGTAGGTATGCAAATATTTAAAAAGAAACAAACAAATGCCACACTAAAACAGTAAACAAGATCAGCACCAAAAACACATTCAAAGCAGTGAGGTACAACAATCCATTAAAAAACACCACTCAGGCAGCTGAATCCTCATGGAAAGCCTGCCTGAAGAGAAAGGTATTTGCTTGTGGAAGGAGAGCAAAGATGGGGCTAGCCTGGCCCCCTGTGGGAGGGAAATTCCAAAATTTAACAAAAGTAAACCAAACCCAAATGTATTGCAGCACATTAGAAACTAAAGGAGTGAACACACAAGGAAATAGATCACATTTTGGGCTACTTGTGGAACCAGGCTGAGCAATTACTTCCCTAGCAGATGAAACGGTTGCTTTAAGGGAGATCCCTCATGTGAAAGCGATGCTTTCCAGTGCAATCAAATGCATACCTTTCCAAGAGCACCTCTCAGATTTACTTAAGTGTGAGCTTTTGTTGATTACAATCCACTAGTGTCTGAAGAAGTATATAGTAATCTTAATATGTTTACACTCAAATAAATCTGGTCTTGAAGGTGTCTCAATAGTTTTGTTTCTATTTTCACTTAGTTCTTGTTCATCAGTGACTGATGCAGATTAAAAGGGAATCAAAACCCCGGAAAATAGTAATTTTGCATTTGCCTTTGCTTCAGGTGAGAAAAATTCAAGGTCTTGGATAGCATTTACTAAGATATAGGGTGTACACTGACAAGTACAACAGTGGAATTCAGATTTCACTGTAAGCCTGGATTTTAATCAGAGACATAAGATTCCATTATCTAGAAGCAGCATTCCCTCAAGTGGTGAAAAAAGGTGTAACTATGAAACAATATTTTAAGTAGAACTGTGAGTGTTATTGGAATTATCATTGGAGGGTAAAAGCATCGCTGTTGTTTGCATGTCTAATTTTGGAGATATTCATAATAGAGGAGGTCACGTTGCTAAAGAGAAAACATTGTAAGAGTATGAAAAATCAGGAGATCAACCTCTTGTCTAGTGAGGCCTAGCAGTGAAATGAGATGTGCAAGAGAATAAATCTGTGCTCTATTACTTGTGTAAGTAAAAACGGTCACTTTAAGAAATCAGGGGA